AGTAGTAGTAGTAGTATTAGCATTAGTTGTAGTAACCATGATATCATGACATATATGATATGACGATGATGATAATAAATCATTATTATTATTATTATTTTGATATTATTATTACTATTATAATTACCAAAAACTTAAGGAACAACAGAATTTCTGAATTTTTTACCAGATACATGTAAGATTCAAGTTTGTATGAAAAGTGCTCAATAAAGTTTGCTATTATTTTTTTGATAAAAACTTTATTCATTTAAAAGTGTTGATTAAATACTAGTGGCTGCTCACCACTATTATTGAGGAGACTATCTACAAGTAAAACTGTGATAAAAAGCAAATCTATAATAGTTATATGTAAGGACATTGATAATTTAACCTCACTGCTTGCTATGTAGTATACTGCCCTTTATTTATTATAACAGTTAACCACATGTTATTGGCTGCTTTTATCGTTGTCCTAGTTACATTATGTCACTAAATGACTTGTGATATATTCTTCATTCACTGTTCTCTTTCTTATGTTACTTTTTTTCTTTTGAACAGGAGAGAATGTTCCAGTTTTGGTTTAACACATTCTTTATAAGTCAACAAGCTACCGTAGTGCAACTCTTTGAGGATGAGCCAACCCTTAAAGTTGTAAAGCTTGATTCTGATTTATACTTTTTTGATATTGGCAAGGATGATCTTGACAAGGCACACAAGGATGCCAAGGAAAAGATTTACAACAGAGATTTTAAGGTAAGATTCCAAGGAGCTTCCATGTGTTTATTATGCCTCCCATAGGTATGTGAACAAAACCTTGCTATGTGTACTGTAGATGCATTGAGGCCATCAAAAACCTAGAACCAAAGAACTGTCTTTGTCTTCTTTGGTTGAACCCTTTACTCCCTAAGAGTGCCATTTGGCACACAACATCATTAAACTTTGTGAATATTCGAGAGATTTCTATGAATTTTTACCACGAAAATTGCCTTGTAAAGATCTGCTCATTGAAGGCATAAAATTGTGACCCCCTCCTACCTAAGGCATGGTTGACCACCCCCATTGTTTTCCAATTTCTTTTTTGAGATGCACATGGAATGCAAGACTTGTTTCACATCAAGACCTGCTAAACAAGTTATAGTTCAGGGGCATACCTACATGTATGATATTTGAGAATTGATACGTGTTGGAAGCTTTTCAGTTTCACGTTTTAAAACAGTTTCTCTGAAAATGACTACCTCTTTCATAACTGCGGATGTCAGTTCCTAAATAAGCTGATCAGCGGCTTTCAAATAGTATATTGTACACAGGCAAAGAGCCTTTATTTGCTGATTTAGGAAAAACTGCCATTCGCCTTAAGGGGTGAAGGGTCAAAAGAAATTGTGCTAGAGAGGTGTTTATGGGCAGACTTTACTAATTAGTGATCAATGACATCATTCATTGAGTAATAAACTGAGTGGTCTTTGATAATTGCTAATGATCAGCGAGTAATCATTGACCGATTGATGACCAAAACTTTTTTGGCCTATTCGATGTCATCGATGTTATTGATCATTTGTTGGCAGATACTATGATTGCTCATCAATTACCTATTGATTACCCATTAATTACGTATTGATTACACATAAATAATATTATGTTACGATTATCCAGCATTTTTCGTCACTATATCTGACTTTAGTTAGTTTCCTGTCATAGCCAGATCTGTGGTACATGTAACTATGTGAATGGCTGGTGACAATAATAATGGGTCAAGAGGAATATTTTGCACTTGCAGGGTTAAACAGGGAAAGTACAGTAAAAACCTGCATGTAAGAACTTAGTGGTTTAAGAGTCTGCTGGCAGAAATTTGCAGTTTTAATACCCAGAAATATAAGAACCTGTTTAGCCACGCAAGATTAAACAGGTTCTTATACATGGGCTACAGTTAAATAAGGATAAACATTTTACAACTCTTGTTACAGAAACAACACTGTATTGTTAATAAATGAAGGTTCTTACACATGGGGTATTACTGTACCTGCATTTATAGGAATCCAAGACCCATATCCTGTCTGTTGTAACAATGTATAGGCCATCAACATGAAACACGAAATGCGCCACACCATGGGGATTATATGGCCAATGTCGTCAATGACTGATCAGTGCAATCAATGACTGCTTGATGACTGAAAATTCTGTGGCCCATTGATTCTTCGTTGATTACTCATTGATCAGCAGCAATGATCAATGACTAATCAGACAACTGATTACCCATTGATTACCTATGTGTTACTCATTGCTTTCATTCATGTGATTGATGTCGTTGATAGCTAGGTCTGGTTATGGTGAGAACTGAATGGTACTTGTAATGATAGTATTAGAGTCATTCATTGGTTATTAAACACTTCATGCCAATCACTCATTTTGAAGACATGATTGATCATCACAGCTTTACACACGACTTAAGCAGTTGTGAAATTAAAGCCTGGAAAAAAAAGAAAAAAAAAAAATCCGAAACATTTTTTTCTTAACCCTAAAAATTAACCCTTGATAGATTAGGGTTACTTTTTTCAGGCTTTAATTTCACAACTGCTTAGGTTGTGTGTATAACTGCGATGATCAATCATGTCTTCATATCTTTCCCCGCAGTTCAAATATATGGTATTTCATATATTCACTTGTAATCACTCATTTTGTTGTTTATGGATGGTTGTAGGTTCGTGTCACATTTTCAGAGGTTGATTCTATCGCTCCATCATCAAGTGCATCACTTCCAAGGAGACCTGGAGCAGTCAAATCACTGCATAAAAAGAGTCGCTCCATGGATTCATTTGACCGAGAGGAAATAGGCAGCATTAACCATGAAGAAGATAACTTTTCCGATACTGATAACGACGAGCAGTGGCAAGAGGAATCAATGTTGCCAGCAACACAAACGACATATGTTTGAGAAAGAAACAATAGAATGGAAATTGCCAGTGTTGGGAATAGTGTCCTTTTGCCTGGTAATTAGACACGTGCATCTCCTTTTCGCAGCAGAGTACAAATCATGTGGATTCACATACAGTGTTAGAACAATATTATATTAAATAGTTATTCATCTAGATAGATTAGGGATAAAAAAATGTTTGTTTTGTGCCAAAACATTCCTTCCTTTGCACGAAGAAAAAACTCTTAGACACATCTTTTTAATAGTGGAATTCCAGTATGTCAATTAAAACTTTCTTTAATTATTAGCCCCTCAGTCATGTTCGATTGGAAATCTTCAAATCTGGCTAGTTCTGTCTTCGTTTTCTATTCACTGATAGATAACATGCACTCATGCTCTTGAAACTGAAAATTATTCTTAATTTTAGGTGTCTAATGGGACAATAAGACTACTATTTGCTTATGGTAAACTTGGGCTTGTAGTTTAATTGAAGGGGTGCATGGAAAGAAGCCCTAAATGACTCTTGATCTCATGTCAAATTCTCCTTTTCTATACGAGGAAGTGAAAAGCAATTTGCTAGGAGAATCTTGCAGTCTATCAGATGTCACTTAGGGTCATTTTCCATGCACCCCTTCAATTGTTAATCAGACAACAACAACAACAATATTTTATTGTGCTAATGAATCAGAAATGTTTTAAGATACATGTAAGTGTGGAAGTGTCATAACAGCTCGATACAGTACATGTATCTATATGTCATTTTATTATAATTCCTCGCTCCATGAGAGGGCAAGATGAACTAAATCCTGCATTGTGATTGGCTAAGATAGTGCCATCTTGCCTGCTCAGGATTACCCGACAAGTAGACAAGTGTTCTTTTTCCATATGGTAAATCCTTTATTGACCAAGCTTGTTCGGTTAAGATGGCTGGATATTGGCCTCATTCTTTTTTGGGGGGTGTTTATGAACTTTGACACCGTCTAGGTCCATTAACACGCAGAAAAAGGAACTTGGCCAATATCCAGTTATCTTGACCTCATGCTTGGTCTGCTCATTAAGCTATATATAATTGTCACCATCATTGTCATTATCATTGTCACTGTCATGGTGATCATCATCAGTTCTCTTCATGCCAGTAGGCACACCAGGCCACATATCTTGTACATGTACGTGAATATAAAAGTAGACCTCAGTAACAAGGCGTTTTTTGATCAGTTTTTCGCTGGGATCTGTTATAAGAAATTTAAGGGGTAGGAACAAGAGTTCGTTACCAATTAGATTAAAATACTTTTCTAGCTATGTTAGATCCATTAAATAGCAGACAAGATATTGAGGAGGGGAAGGAGAGACAATTGTACCGGTAAGAGTAGTTTTGCTTAAAATTTCGTTGCTGTATTGCATTAAATTTTAAAACTCATCATCAGGGCACAAAAAAGTGCTGTCGAGTCATCTGGAGCAAGTAGATTTTCCTGCCGGGCAAGTATCTTTTCATTCTCACTTGCCCAAAAGGGAAGGGCCCAGGCAAGTCATCTGCAAACTAAATAATGAAAAAAGTAAATTAAGTCTTGCCCTGGGAAAACAAAATTTGAGGGGGGGGGGGGGGGGGGGGGGAACGGGCCCCCGGGCCCATCATCCAGATCCGCCACTGCTGAATTTCAGGCTGCATACCTACCTGAGCAAGGGCA